CCCCCAGCCGGGGCCGGGCCCCCCGGCCGCTCGGGCCGCGGCGGCGGGGACCATGCCGAGGAAAGTCTCCTGAGCCCGGCAACTTCGGCCCCTCCCCGCCCCCACCCGGGCTGCCCTCCGCGCGGCCCTGCCCATGTGCAGTCGGCCCGCCGGGCTCTCCTCTTCGCAGGCGGATGGGTGACCTTTTCCTGGCACGGGCAGGCTGTGTGAGGCGGCGGTGCAGGCGATGAAGAAGAAGCAGCAGCATCCCGGCGGCGCCGCGGATCCCTGGCCCCATGGGGCCCCTCTGGGGGGCGCCCCTCCCGGCCTGGGCAGCTGGAAGCGCCGGGTCTCCCTGCTGCCTTTCCTGCGCTTCTCCCTCCGGGACTACGGTTTCTGCATGGCCACCCTGCTGGTCTTCTGCCTGGGCTCCCTCTTCTATCAGCTCAGCGGGGGACCCCCTCGTTTCCTGCTCGACCTGCGGCAGTATTTGGGTAAGGAGGGGTGGCGGGCGCGAGGGTGGCGCTGGCCGCGCGAAGTTGTGCCGGGGGGAGAGGGGACGCGCTGGGGACTTCTGGTGCTACCCCAGCCCGCCGCCGCCCCGGGGCTGCCCAGGTGGGACGCCCGCGAACGTCGCCGCAGCGGCCCGGGGCGCCTGCTGCCTCCCGCGCCGCCGTCTGTCTGCACAGAGGCGGGGGCGCCACCGGGTTGACCCGCGCGGCAGGTACCCCGGGGCGGGGCACTGCATACCTTCCCCGCCTCTGCCACCCCATCTGGGGCAGAGTGTAGGCGTGGGTGTTTGTGGGTGTGTACGAATGGGTGCATATTCAGGCCTGGCCGTGTGCGGAGAGGCGAGGAGAAGGGACAGTCCCTCCCTGGCCCGTTAGTGAGCATAGTCTTGTCCTGCGCTGGTGGGTTTAGCTCCTCTTCACAGTGGGTTCTACGAATTCTGCCCCCACGAGTTCTCCCTCCTGTCGCCGGCGTGGGTGACCCAAGGCAGATTTCAGGCTCCGCGCTGTCCCTGAGCTGGCTTGTCCTCTGGCAGCCCCTGCTCACTCCGTAGCCCGCAGGTAGGAGGACTGGGGTGCGGGCTGCGCCGGGAGGTCTGGGGCTGTCGGAGGGTGCAGGTCAGCCTCACCAGCGGTGTTGGCGAACCTCTGCGCTACGAATGTCTCATGTCAGAACTTTCGTGAGGGGCTGTGCTTGGTTTATTCGGAGCGAGGCCACCTATTTTTAGCAGAGGTAAGCAAAGGGTTGTGCAGAGAGATACAAGAGCAGCTTCAGAGAGAGGGCGTGACCCGCCGCTCCCTGTCCAGGCGCGGGGAGGGAGCGGTGCCAGGGCCCGGCCAGCGCACGCCCTGGTCCCCAGCACCACTCTGCTCGCGCTCCCTGGCCCAGGCAGGATGCAAATCTCCCACAAGTCTGTGGCCAGAAGAGGTCTTTCGGGAAAGGAGGGAGAGGATGGGAGGGCTGGCTGCAGCTTCTTGTAGACGTGCAAGGTGATAAACGGGAGCCCCTCGCAAACATCTGGCTTGACTCGAGCCGGTGCGCAAAGGGAAGCCGCTGAAGCGCTGGAACCAAAATGGGCCAAATGACTCCCGCAGGCTGGCGGCTGCCACACTTACCCACCAAAGCCTCTTCGTTGCAGAAGCCACAAGTCTGGATAGTACACAGTTTTCGAAGGAAAAAAACACTTCAGCAAAGTGACACATGTGTTAGAGCATTTTGAAATGGAAACGCAGATAAAATAATGCTCTTTCCATGTAAAGAAGCTCAGGTTTTAAAAAGTAACACTTCTATTTTTGTAGAAACTTTAGGGAACTATGGTTTTGTAAGATGGTTTAGGGGAAATATTGTCCAAGTAGATTTCTGAAGTACAATCTTGACTATCTGTTTTTTTTTTTAGAGGATTGGGATAGTATGCACTCTTGTTAGGGAGTCAGATTTCTTTTTTTCCTGAGTTCTGTATTTTGAAGTCTCATAGCTTCATAGCTTGCAGACACCTGCTAGTGTCACACAGGTTTGTGTGTGTGTGTGTGTGTGTGTGTGTGTGTGTGTGTGTGTGTGTAAGTTCCTTCTAAGCAAAATATGGAGGCCAATGGTGTAGATAGAGAAAATCCAGCGCATGGAGAAGGAAGACATCTGTGTTGGGTGTTCTCAAGAGCACTTGGCTTTGGGGAATGGCACTCAGACTTCATGGGCCTCAGTTTTCTTATGGGTAAAATTAGGGGCTGGACTAGATTGTCTCAAACGTCCACTCAGCTCCTAGAATGTTGTGGTTTTAATACCCTTTTCCGGGATGGAAAAATCCAGGAAGAGGAGTGAGTAAAGGCACTACAGAGAGTAAAATCAAGGACTTCAACGTCTAGCACGCTAACCGTTAGAAAATTCAGCCAAACACACGTGGTATCCAGAGTTTTGTGCTTTCCTTATATATTTCAAAAAATGAGGCCTGATAAATTTGGGGCTCAGTTGGTAGAAGGGTGAATTCACAGCCTTCACTCAGAAAATGAGTAACAACTAAAGGACTGAATGTTGCTGCTATTACTAAGTGATCATTAAACTTCTGACTGACATGATGGGTTAAAAAATGACATCACTGTGAACTGAAAATAGGATACCTTTGGCCAAATTTGGTCCCTGTTGTTTTGTTACATAAATATAATGATCTTCGGGAAAAGTGAGATTGTGGTCTTTATGAGGGTCTAAAATATACCCTTGATAATATAAGGCAAAATATCTGCAGTGTTACTTTTTCTCTTGTTTCCTCCATTCTATTATTTTAGTGTCTGTCAAAACAAAATCTGTGGTTAGTAAACACATCCTCTCAATTTCTCTAGTTAGCCAATTTTAGAGGCAAGTGTTATTCTTAAATATAAGTTCATGTAAAGTCAAAATTTTCCAAATTGAAATAATATTTATAAAAAATACTTTCCTTGACAGGATAGTATTTTAATACTCACATATAATATTATACATCTGAGACATGGTAGCCACTCAATAATTATTTGTTGAAGTAATAACAACCTATTGTGTCAAATAGGGATATTTAACATATTGCACATCGAATATTCTCATAGGGAAGCCAAGAGAGATGACCATTCACAGAAAAGCTAACATTGTTGTGCATGTGCCAGTCCAGGCACGTGCAGGATGAAACTGCATCAGCACAGTCATATTTTAGTTAGGTCCCACTATTATTCTCATCTTTGATGTGGGGAAAATGAGGACAAAGAAGTTCACTGACTTGCCAAAGGACACACAGCAAGTAAGGCAAGACCTGAACCCAAATATAATATATGATTACTGAATAGCACTCATGGTATAGCATTATGAGCAGTTTAAGAGATAAAATGGAAATACAGTCAAGATGCAAGTGGGAATCTAAAGAGCTGATGGGTTAAAAATGATGATATTTATTTCCATAATTTTGCTTTCTTTTATTCGATACTTTTACTCTGCATCTCTTGAGGGGCCAACAGAGAAGATAAATAATTCGAGCAACTGGTCTGCTCAAACTCTGGCTTCCTGTGGTAACTCCACGGTGCCGCCTCCATGTACTAGGGAACTCGACACCACAGAGCTGCACAACTGGAAGCGATGTGAATCAGAATCTTAAATTCCCGATCTTTCCCTCTTTCTCTAGCAATCGTTCTTTGTCTAGGCTAGTGGTTTTCAATGTATGGTCCTGGGCCTGCAGCATCAGTATCACCTGGGAACTTATTACAGATGCACATTCTCAAGTCTCATCCCAGACCCATTGTATGAAAGAGGATGGATGTGGGACCCAGCAATCTGTGTTTTAGCAAGTCTGCCAGGTGATTCTGATGCCGGCTCAAGTTTGAGGACCATTGTTCCAGAGTAAAGCATTGCTTTCAGGAAGCTTCCTATGCATTCGAGAGAAAGAGGGGGAGATGAGAGAGAGAAAAGGTTCATAAAATATTTTAAAAGGAATGTACATGGTTTAATTTTTTAAATTTCGACTTTAAAAAATACATCTGCTTTGCTTCTTAAGCCCCATTGTTTCAAGAGGAAGACCAGCCAACAGCTGTGGCCCCAGCTAGCTTTAGACTTTCTGAGGTTAGGAGAAGCAGAGAAGGGGGTGAAGGTGGGCAACCAGAAAGTGTGAGGAAGGAAGGGAAAGGAGTCTATGATGATGCTTTCTCTTCCTACGGGAGCTGGGATCGAGCTGTCCCTTTTTTATAGTCAGCTTGGGGAAAGGCTGCAACAATTTGAAAAATGGAAAATAAGTTAGGAGAAGGAAAATTATGCAAAGATAACTTGTCGTGACTCTTCCCCTCCTCAGAATGGATGGAAGGAGGAGAACGCAGACATACAATGCGGTAAATAGATGGATATAGCAATGCTGTGCTTAAACTTGGAAACCATAGTCTTTTCAATTCAATGAAATTATATTTTTTGAAGCAGTATTCAGGCTTTGATTTACTATGGAAAACAAATAAAAATCAAATAAAATTTCCCCCAGAAATTTAGTTATGGTGCATCTTCTGCCAGTAGCCTCATTACTTATGAGCTGTGGAAATATCAAAAACTTGGAATAACACTCATTACATTGATGTAAACTGAATAAGCCAGATGGCTTACTACTGATCTTATACAACCAGTGAACTCTAATGATTTATCATCAAGCCTTGGATATGTTGATTTAGCCTTCATGGGAACTAAATTTGTTGGATTGATCTCAAGTTGACATGCTTTCTTTTCCATTTTTAATTTATACTACTATAGTTTTCAGAATTGCCCATCTTGATATATATTTAAAATGAGCATGACAATTTTGTGTCAAAAAATGAGAGAAAAAGATGTATCGAATTTAAAATTCTCTAAATGTATATGAATTTAAAGGAAAATGTGAAAGTAGACATCCAGAATTGTTATAAAATAGTCTTTAAACCTTAAAAAGCCAAATTTAATTTTCTTCTGCACATCGCGTATGGTTTAAGTATAGTACTCTAGGCCCCAGACAGCACTCTAGGAAATGAATGCATACAATATGATGTTATCAATATACATTGTTGACATAAAAAGAAAATGACATTCTTGTTCATAGCTGCAAATTTGTCTTACAGGGTTGGATGGGGACACAGTAGCCCTGTATTAGAGGAAGAACAGAAAATGGAATTGAACTGTGCAGTCTGTTCTATAAACACATAGAATGAATGGTGAAAAGCATTCTGCCTTGTAAACTATTTTTAATGTAGACTAGTCTCAGTATGAACTGTTTAAAAATACATATAAATATGTATTATCTGGATATTGTCTTTCTTCAAATTCCTTGTCATCAAGCCAGGTTTAAAACACTAGTTGGTTTGTATTTGAGAAACTGGAATAAAAGTGGTCAAGTTTTTCGAGTCCCATGAGAAATAATATCTTTCGCTTCCCCAAAGGGAAGCTGCTGGAGCAGAAACAGTAGTGTGCCCTGCAGCTATGCTCAAGGGTACAGTGATGGACAATGACAAGGAATCTTATATGA